ACCCTAAGTGTGGCTTTTTGTGGCTGCCAATCTCCATATTGCCTTACCTTCCTCCGATAATTCTTACCTCTACTACTCCCCATGTGGCCAATTCTCTGCATTAAATATCTTCTGTTTGAACAAAGTTTCTGTTATCCTGGCCAGACTCTAATGGATACATGGTCTCAGGAATACCTGACAATTTCAGCCTTCTCCTTGAATCAGGTGTTGGTTTAGAGCTTCCAAGAAGGTATCAAATTAATTAATTTGAAAGCAATCTTTTTACTTTTTTTTTTTTTTTTACACTTTCCTAGTAGGAAAAAAAAAAATAACGATCAGGGGAAACATCTAAAAAGCAGATGATGACAAAGTAAAGAAAAGACGAAGCAAAGTCCTGGCTGTTTTTTAAATTTCACATTCAGATGGCAAATAATGGAAACAGTCGATAGGGGATTTGCGTGATTAGAGGGAGAGCCCTTTGGTACGAATTCCAGACTTTTCATTATAAATGGTAACATCACAGAAGATAGTATAATATAAGTAAAAATGTTGTATGTGCTTCTGATTACAAGGTAGGATTTTTTCCTGAGGTGCCATGGTAATACCTTTTGGCCGTCGTCCTGTAGGGCATGAAGGAGACCCCTGCCTGCGCTCGTCAGACTGCACGGAAGGGTTCTGTTGTGCTCGGCACTTCTGGACCAAAATCTGCAAGCCAGTGCTTCACCAGGGAGAAGTCTGCACCAAGCAGCGCAGGAAGGGCTCGCACGGGCTGGAAATCTTCCAGCGGTGTGACTGCGCCAAGGGCCTGTCTTGCAAAGTGTGGAAAGACGCGACCTATTCCTCCAAAGCCAGACTCCACGTGTGCCAGAAGATTTGATCACCACGGAGGAGAGCGTCACTAGCAGACTGTGAATTTGTGTATTTAATGCATTATAGCATGGTGGAAAAGCACGTGCGGAACGCAGAGAGTGGCTAAAACAAGAATGTAGATCGCAGCGAGAGAGAAAGAGAACCGAACAGATTAGAAGGGGTGACGAAGGCAACACGACCAGTGTGCTTCCATTATGCAACTTTTTTATGTAAATAATGTACACATTTGTGAAAACGCTATTAAAAAAAGCACACGATGGAAATTACTGATGAATACCGTGTGACTATCCAAGATTTAGTTGTGCTAGAGGAGAGGTTTCTTTCAGATTGGAGATTGCCTACAAAAATAACCTAACAGCCATGTTTCTATTCGAAGTTATAGTTTAACGAAATGCTTCCAGTATACTGGAGCATACGGTAAAATGAAAAACGTTGAAATAAAAACATGGAGCATAATTTGCAACACAGAATCACCTTTCAATTCGGAACACTAATTGCACTGCCCAATTAAAGGCCTTGGTAAATGGAAAAAAGTAGTCAGAAGTCAATATTTTTCAAATAATTTCAAAATAATGGCAGGTGTTTAGGGGGGAAAAACTTATTTTTCCACAAACTGCTATTGACATTTTTAATTTTGCCTATAATTAGTTAGACTGGTATAAGACAGAAACAGTCCCCTCAGAGTCGCATGACAGAGCATGTGTCTTTATCCTACGTGATTCCTGCCCTGAGTACATTTTATTCTCCAAAATATCCCCATCAGTTGTGACTAGCACAATACTTGCACAGCGCAGAATTTTCAGATTGCTAAAAATTTAAAGATGCTCAATATATGCAGGACACAATCTAATGGAGACATCATTGGTTTTTTTTATAGCTTTGCCATGGCCTATGTTTTCATAGAGTAGACGGATAAATGTATTTTATTTTTACATGCTCAGCCGTAATAGAGACCACAGCTCGAAAATGGAGGAGACGTTGTCAGTTACCCGGGTTTTGGCAGCACACAGCTCCTATGTCTGAAGCACGAGCTGACTTTTCACCTTTGAAACCGGAGGCTGCGCAACATAAATGCGATGTCTCTGTGGGATTTGCTGTCATAATATTTACTACATGGATGAATTCAGCGTGAGGTCACTTGCACTTCCTGTCCTCAAAATACTTATTTTATATTTTTGAGGTCCTAAAATAATCTTAATATAAGGAGTTCTCACGAAACGGACTCCCCAGGCGCAGGTGGTGGGGCTCCATTGCCCTCCGTAAGCTTCAATGGCAACATCTGATTTTTTTTTTTTTGCCCCAAACTCTCCCTGCAACAGCTGTTTTATTGCCAAAGATATAGTTTGTTTCCTGCAGCCATTGATGTTAATATAAATAGAATAACTTGTAAAAATCTACATATTGCTAATTTTTAGAAACCAAAGTTTCTAAATTCTTTGAAACAACTTTACTACTTTTTTACTTAACTCAGTTCTAAATGTTGTGTCTAGAGCATAAAAGAAAAAAGGGTTACCTTGTAGTTGTTACTTTAAACTTCTACAGACTGCAAGTCACTCCTTAATTTTCTTTATTCAGACTCCATCTGTAGTCTCCAGTTTAACTTCTCCTGGTAGAAATTGAATTTGAGCCTGTATCTCTATTAAGAAGTTTAGCTTCCCACACACATTTACTAGGATGATGAA